AGACATGCAATGTTCAGGTGCTAACAACTCAAAAAGGTGATCTAGAGATGTGTTGTTTTGTCATGTTTTATATCCTTTCCAGTAGTTAATTTTGGAGGGTATGTCAAGCATTTGGAATTTCTGAGTGTCCTTAGACAAGAGGTAAACATCTTCTGTCTGAGTAAGTTTCCTTACAGAATTTTAAGAAGACATTGGGTTATGTTTTCCAAAGGCAGGCTGCTAGGTGGCAGGGTAGGAGCAAAATCAAGCAACTTAAGAAATAAGGCAAGAAAAAGTTAATTATTTTAATACTTTAGCAATAGTTTTGGGGGTAGAATGCCCTTTGTATCAACCTATTCTGAGCTTCTTCCCCACTGAAGTCCAAAGCAATATACCAGCACAATGTAGGGCAAGAATTTGATCAAATTATTCTTTTCCGAGATTGAAAAAAAAAACCCCAAAACAGCCAAACAAAACCCCACATAAACATAGAGGTTTTACATGTGAGAACCTGGATCCTAGTGTTCATCAGAAACTTTTGAAAGAGATGCGGTTCTGCAACTTTCTGGAGATCCACATTAAAACAAACAAAACCCATAAAACAAAACCCTTTTCAACTCCTATGCTGTGAATACCCTTTGGAAGCTGAAACCATTTTTTCTCACTGGTAATCGAAACTTTTCCTTTTCAGAGACTGTTTATTTCAGTTAAATTGTTGAAATGCAACAACAACCTATAAGTAAGGCAGGATGACAACTTGTACAAGGGAGAGGGTTTTTATCACCACATAATTTGCTGATTAAAAGATTGACAAATGACCTCAGATTTTCAGTGTACCGCATGAACATAGAAAGCTTAGATAAATACCTTACAAACACAAATGGTATTAAACCAATCTGGACACCTTTATGAACCACAAGACCAAAGCAATACTTCTGAAATCTTAGAGAATGGGAAGCTTTTGTGTGACATGGTTTTGTCACAGTTAATGCTAATTTCATTCTGAATTTAGAATCCGTTGTGCCATTATTATTATGTTCACTTATCATGAAGAATGGCCATGATTTTATATCAGATGTAGCGAAATCCTGAACCTACGCAAATCAGTGACAAAACTCCACCTTCAAGGAGGTCAGCATCTCACCCAAATGAGGAGACATTCCCTGCCTTACTGCCAAAGACTTGGTATTAGTAATTGAAAAGGATATTCAACATCACTATAGGAAACACAGCCAGACGTAGTTCAGAAACACTGAAAAAGAGTATTTTCAGGCATTTAATCTCATTAGGAACATCAGATGAAAGTCTGCTGAGACACAAAAAACCCCTATACAGCAGAGATCTCTAAAAGTGCTGTCTGAGAGACTCAAAGCTCTAAAGGGTTTTGCTTGCTGGGCATCATGCAGAAATTACATTTAAATATTTGTATTTAAGATTTGGAAATTAAAGTAAATGCTTCCATCTATTTGCCTCCATTTTAGTACTTTTCCCATTATGGACCTAACCAAAGCCTTTTTGAAGTACAACTGCTTGGTGAAGAAAATTAGGTCTAATAATCTAACTTCTGAATAATTTCTATTCATATTGTATAGACCCACTTAGTTTTTCATTCAGTTTGACCATCCTCATAGACATAGTAAAATCCCATCCTTATTAGAAACACAGAGAAGCTGGAATTTCATATGGGATAGGGAGCCAATTTTTTTTTTTTTTTTCATAATTGAGGAGGCTAATAATATCCTTGCTGGAATTTTTGTACAAAGAACATGACTGCTAAAACTGGGGTAAAGGGCTACATAATTTTCAAAGCAAAGCAAGAATATTGTTTGAACAAATGCTGCTAGCATTTGAAAAAGATGGTATTAATTTTGTGTGTGAACTGTGATAATCCCTGACTATTTCTAAATCCTTGTAAATTGTTTCATAGGGCTTAGGAGTTATGACTTATTCACATTTTCTGACAAGCTACTGTCATGGGAGATCTAACACATAAGTAGGAAATTGGAGAGATCTGGCATATTTGAACAAGATACATCCAAAAATTGAATGCTTTACCTTGGACTAACTGGAAAATCTGCTAGCTTTGGGTTTGAAAGTTGAAGGTAATATTAAAAGTGCATTAAAAGGAATGATGAACAGTATTTGAATGGGTTTCTTTTTTACATTGTGTGGTTGAGTTGAATCCATGGATTCCTCCAGTTACTTGACTCTGGGTGTCTGCAAACAAATATTTTCATATATATTTTCTGCTCAAATGACAACAACTATCAGTCCAAGCAGCTTGACCAATTTATCAAGCTCCATATCAAATAGAGCTCCAACCGAAAATCCCTGATCTAATGACTCCTGAGAAATACGTTCCCATGCAATCATAGTGAGAATTGAAAAGCAATACCATGGATTGCTTATCAGTGATTTTCACATTCTCTGCTTTTAGTGTCATTTTCAGTAATCACCTTAAGATGCCAATGCTTCTGCAAAATGTGTGTGCTGACTGCAGGATGGGGTCAAGATAGGCTGGTGTGAAACAAGAAGCAGGGAAATGAAAGGAAGTGCTCTGCTGATCTTGTGTGTAGTTGATAATCCTAAACATATCTGGTCCAAGCTCAGGGAATGCAAAAAGCCTCATGGCTGCTAATAATGTGATCTCTCCTTTACTAAGAAATCCCTCAACTTTTATCACAACATTAATAGTAAATGTGGTAAATAGTACTCAGAAGCCTGAGACCCGGGTTGCACCATTCTTTTAGGAGAAGCCATTTTAAAGCACATAAGAGAACACTAAATGCCTCCTTAACTAATGTCCTCTGGCAGGGTTTGCTGTGTAGTTGAACATCTGTTCTAAAGGTTTATCTGATTATAAATTACTCCTTTCAAAATGGTAGCAATTGATTCACACTAAAATATGAGTTTGTATGCCGTTAATTGCCCGATTATAATTATCTTCCTCCAATATGGATTCATGTTGGCTTAACTGCTTTTGCTTATTTTCTGTGAATTGTAGTTCTTTTTGCAGGCCTGTCTCCCAGTTATGGAACATATAAGAAATGTGTATTAATTGCTACCATATTACTTAACTCTTATCAATATTTACTGTTGTTTTCTTTTTTTGCTGTCCCTTATTTTGATTAAACCTTTCACATTACTCTGAAATTTCTAGTAGTCCAAATGGTTTTGCCTTATGAGCAAATGGCACATTTTTTTCTCTTTGCTGCTTAAAACATTTGTTAATGATTTGGCAAGCTGGGATAGCTTCCACATGAGGAAGTAAGGGGTGGTTTCTTCATTTCTGCTTTCCTCACCATATAATAGATAGCACTTCAAGAAATTAAAGTAGCAGTGTTGTATTTTAGATAAGGGTTCTTGAACATATTTTAAGTACTAAGCACCCTTATCCTACACATTATCTATTCATTTTTCTTCTTTCCAGCTTGCTAATTTGAGGTGCCACAAGCCTTAGAGAGGCGAGTGAGGAGGTGTCACTTCCAGGCACAAGTAAGAAAGTGCTTGCAATCTTTTCACCACACTGAATGTTACTTAACAGGAGAGTGTTTGGGAGAGACCCAAAATTTCTGTCTGGCTCCGCTAGAGACACCAGCAGGCTGGGAGTGATGATGCAAACAGGTGACACCAGCACCTTTGCTGCCACATCCAGAAAGAGGACAGTTGTGTTCCTCCTTCCTGTGCTGCACCACAGAGCTCAGCTGAGTAACTCAGAACCACGGTCTGTGGTTTTGCATCATTAAGTTGAGGCTGGTTAGTTCAAGGAGCTGAAATGGAGGCACACCATCTCCCTTGGAACAGGCAAGGCCAAGGAACGCTCCCAGGAAGGGTTTAGCCAACAGCCTGCCGAACATGGCAGCTCCCAGCAGAGCTGGTGATCAGCAGCTGATGGCAAACTGGTGTTCATCATGTTTTCCATCAGCACAGCGGGCGCCAGCCAGGATGTTTGTCCTTCGTTCCTCTTCTTACAATGCCCTAAACCAAATGCCAAACAAATGTCAAGTAGTCAGATTATCTGGCACTCCTGAGGAACTGCTCGCTGTGCAGCTCTTCCGTCAAGGTGTAGCAAGAACATCCTCACAGCAGTGTCTGCTAAGAAAACTCTTTGGTGATGTTTCTGCTGTTTTGACATTCGTTCCTCTGCGAGACCCAGACTGCACACTCAGTTGAACTGCAGTGTATTCACTCACACTGGGAGGCTGCTTTTTGGCAACCAGACTGATGCTAAAAATAAAACAACCTATGCAAAACTAACAAAAAACCTCCTTGCTAAATCCATAGTGGGAGTATGTTGCTTCAGAAAGCACTGAGTTGTCTCTGCATATGTTTTTTGGTGTCTCTTCCACAAGAAAAAGAAAGGAGGGAAGTTTAATAATGTAGTATTTTTGCAATCATCCATGCAAATCACCCCAGACAATAGCCGTGGCATGCACAAAGTATAGAACCAAGTTTGAAAAGTTCTCAGATACAGACCTCATCCTACTTATGAAAACATGTTGTTATAAGGATGCTGTTTACTGTGCGCCATGCCTACAAAATAAAACTGAGAGGGATACTACTTATTTTTATTTATTTAGGGGCAATGCCTGTATTTTGTTTTCCCTGCTTGATTTTCTGTTTTTAATTGGAAACTTTGGAGACAGCCTGGCCTTCTAAAAGGGTGTTTGTGCACACACGTGTGCTTCCTGAGCCTTTGGACTCGATTTTACACAAGTAACAGTAGAGTTAGCACCGAGTGTGGGTAAAAAAGAGAGATTTGCTTACAAAACACAGCGTACTTTAAAAAGTTAATGCTTTTGGAGTTTGTTTTACCTTTGGGGTTTTGTCCTGGAGCTCTGGTCTCAAAGATTTTCTCTGCAGTTAGGATGGGTGGAAACTGATTTACACACAAAAGCCGGGGGCTCACAAACTCCCAGCAGCAGACTCACGGGCAGCGCCCAGCCCTTCTGACGCCCAGGCCGGCGGAGAGGGCGGCGGCTCAGCCCCGGTCCCGAGGGTCCGCTCCACTCCCTGAATGGATGGAACTCCTCGGTGATACCAGCCTGGGGGGGCTCCTGCTTAATCCTGACCCTCCGGGCTCTTTCTTCGGTGAACCTCCGACGGGTGGAAGCCTAAATAACGACGACGGTGATGACAGTAATAATAATAATAAATAACCAATTAAAGCAATAACGAAGCAGCCCCTCAGCCTGGGTGTGCGGGCGGGGCGGCGGGGGGACCCCGGGGGCGCCTTTCTCTCGCCGCTGCCCGTATCTCCTCCAAGCCCGTAAAACTGGCAGCGTTGCTCGCTGCTCGCTGCTCCGCGCCCTGGTAACGGCGGCCCCCGGCGGGCGGGAGGACGTGCGGGGCCGCCCGTCGCGGCTGTTTCCGTGTTGCCCGTCCGGGCAGGCGCGGCAGGAGCTGGCGGCCGAGGAGCGGCTGCTCCGCGGCGCGGCCCCGACGGTGCCCCGCGACGGCAAGCGGGAGGCGGCGGGGGAGCGGCTGGTGCTGCTGGAGCTGCGCCGCTGCGGGCGGCCGCCGTCCCCCGGCCCCGGCGAGCGGCAGGAGGAGGGGGAGGAGGAGGAAGAAGAGGGGGAGGCGGCGGCGGGCGAAGATTGTTGCGGCAAGTGCAAGAAGCGGGTGCAGTTCGCCGACTCGCTGGGGCTGAGCCTCGCCAGCGTCAAGCACTTCAGCGACGCCGAGGAGCCGCAGGTGCCGCCCGCCGCGCTGTCGCACCTGCAGAGCCCGCCGGGCGAGGAGCGGGACCCTCCGCCGCCCGGCGCCGACCTGCCGCCGCCCGCGCTGCTCCTGGTGCCCGACTTCCCCGACGGCGGGGAGCCCAGCGCCGAGCGGCTGCGGCGGCAGCGCGTCTGCCTGGAGCGCCTGGGGCGGCCCGCGGCGCCCACCGACGTGCGGGGCACGGTGCAAGTGCTGGGCGGCCCCGGCCCCAGGGAGGTGACGGTGCGCTACACCTTCAACGAGTGGCTCTCCTTCGTGGACGTCCCGGCCGCGCCCCTGCCCCCCGAGCCGCCGGCCGAGCGCTACGGCTTCACCCTGTGCGTCCCGCCGAGCCTGCGGGAGGGCTCGGCCCTGCACTTCGCCATCCGCTACCGCAGCCCGCAGGGCGAGTTCTGGGACAACAACGGCGGCCGCAACTACACGCTGCGCTGCTGCGGCTGCCCCGGGGCCGGCCCCGCCGCCGCCCCGCCGGCCCCCGCCGCACCCCGCTACTGACCGGCCGGGCGAGGGGAGCCCAGGGGACACGGCCGGGCAGGGACGGGGGCAGGCGGCCGCACCCCGCGCCCGGAGTGAGGCCCGGCTCGGCAGGGAGACGGCCAGAGCGCCGAGGGCCCCGTCCCGGAGACTGCCCCAAGTCTGGTGGTTTTTAAGCAGGAGCTTCAGTTTCTGCCAGCGAAACATGGATGTGCGTAGCTCGCATTGCTGTGGTTTGTGGAATTGTTCTCCTTTTTGGTTTGTCTTTTTTTTTTTTTTTTTTTTTTTTTTTTTTTTGAGAGAGAGAGAGAGAGAGAGCAAGGAGACTGAGTAGCGTGGGCTTTGCTTTTCCCCTCTTGAAGTGAATTTTTGAGGTCTTGATTTGGGCTTGACTCCACTTACCCGATTAGTCAAGAGCACTCGCGTGAAAACTTGGTGGCGTGTTCGCTACAGATTTAATTTAGGATCCCAGTTTTCCCGTTCTCAGATCCATTTGAAAGACACAGTACTGCGACAGCAATGGTGTGCTTTGTCCTTTTTTAGTTATTTTGTTTGACTTCAATGGACTCCGTAACAATGCGATTCACAGTTGTGAGCACCTGTCAAACCCGTGACAGGCTTGCGTGCCCGTCCCACCTTTGCCATGGCTGCGGCAGCTCTGAGCAGCAGGCGCTCTGTTTTGGGGCTGGATCTGGGGCTGGACTGGGCTGCCCTGCTTTTTGTCACTCAACACACTTCGATACCGCTCCCCAGGCTCGCATGTAGATCCCGTCTGGCTAATAGCAGCCAACAGGGACTTGTGCAGAAATGTTTTTGCTTAAAATAGACTGATGACTTCTTTTCACACAACCAACGAGTCTAAAACCGGGACGAAGGAGGAGTTAAAATACTTGCTGATGCTGTGTTTATCAGGAGAACTTTGGTAACACCTTTGAGTCATGCACTGTGAAGTGAAAGATGGTGTCCGTCTCGTACACGGTTCTGTATTTTCAGATTTGGGTCTGGTTTGGATGACCCGTCTCACTGAGGAGTGACGCTGCCATACAGAGAGGGTGTCTGCAGTAACAAACAGAAACAAGTGCCTTAGTTCAGCTCTCCTTATGTTACATTTTGCACCACATTTCTCAAGTATTTATAATTTATACAGCTTTTTTGCTACATATTTTTCTGTATTTGTATGTTGCTGGGAAAGGACTTTGTTGTGCACACAGCTGGACTTCATGGCGCTGGACACTTGAATTGATTTTATAGTCTTCACTCTTGCACTGCAAGCCTAGAGGTTGACTACTACTGGGTGTCCCAACTCTTGAAATTAAGCAAAAACTACCAATGCAAATGGGTTTGTAAGAATAAAAAAAAAGTTTTAAAAAAAGCCATAAAGCTCACCATTACACTTACTTTCTTCCTTTTTTAATTTTTTTTTTTCTATTTAGCAAAATGTAACAGCAGGCTTCACAGTTTTGCAACCTGTGGTGTGTGTGCCCTGACCAGGGATGATCCCATCTGTCTGTAAGCGATGTTTAGGGCTGTAGCTGACAATGACTGCGGTCCTGCCACAGCCATGAGGCAAATGACCCTGTAAGTCTGTGACAGGCATCTTGGGCAGAGCTGTGCTGTGAGGAAGCTTTACTAGCATGGGTGGAAAGTAGGTGGGTTTTGGTCAAGTTTTGTTGGGGCCCTTCTGCAACTTTGATTCTTCTTGTTTTCTTTTGATACAGTATCTCAAAATATGGGTTATTTTTGGTTAATGAAGAACAATTGCCAGAATGCAGAAGATGCCCTGAAATGGATGTATGGTCTTCAGTAAGACTATGGAATGACATTTTTCCTTTTTTGAAACAGAGATTTCTCAGGCCTTCATTTCCTCTGAAGATGTAAAACATCTTAAAGGCTATCCTGACAACATTAGAAAAAACAGCTATTGATAAGATTCCCCATACTTGAGAATATTTTCAAGCCTACATCTGACCTGCCTTTTGAGATGGCTGGAACAGACCCAGAGCTAAAAGCAGGGAGTCTGCTGGGGGAAAGACGTGAAGCAGAGGGAGCTTCAGACTAAAGGTGCTGCAGTTCTGCTCACATGCGCACTGCTGCTGAAACACAGCCTGTCCTCCCTCCTCCCAAAAAAACCTGTGCATACAGCACAGTGTGAGAATACAGCCAGGGACAAGGAGGTGTTTAATTCCTTCGGAAACCATTCTGCTGTTACACTGTATCAGTTGCTTTGACAACGCACAGAGGGAGAGCTCTGTGCAGGCAAACAGAAGTTCCTACTGTTGTCCTTCAGGTTACATGTGAACTCTCGCCAAGAAGGTTTTAAGGGAGAATAGTGAACTCTGCTGTTTCCCTACACAAGTTTGTTTTAAATCTGTCATGCATTACAGGATTACAGGATGTTACATGGGATAACCTGGTATGAATTAGCCTTTCTTCAGATTGCTGCATCAATGAAATAGTGTGCTCTTAAGCTGAAATAGTGTGCTCTTAGTGTAGTGTCAAGATTGATCCTTCATTTAAGTACAATATAATATTTGGGATTTCTGGAGCCCGTTCCTTATTCTGTGCTTTGTTTATTAGTTGCCTCAGAGAAGAAGGAAACATCGCCAGAAAAAGGACTGGAGAGCTCTCTCCTTAACAGAATTTAAAGGAGCAGTCATGTTCTGATGGCTGTGTCTGGGCAGAGGTGGTACCATGAAGAATCCTGGCTAGCTGTGCCTAGTGATAGAGGCCTGGAAATGTTCTCAGGTCCACTGTAAACATCGATATCCAGAACATGTGACATTTCTGTGTGCTTTTCAGATGTGTGACCTGAAATTCAAAATGCAGGAAAGTACTCACTGAGGCTAGATACTAAAATCTTCTGAGTGCTTCAGAAATTTGGTGCCAATTGAAAATCTTGCCAACTGAGATAATTAAAGCACAACATTTTTGTTGCTTTGATGCCTGGTGAAATGCTTTTATTTGTTATTAAGAATTCTTTTTGTAAAAGGAAGGGGAAAACCTCTAGATGGGAGTCAGACATAGTCACTTTTTGATAGACAGTACATTTCTGTGCTCTTAGGACTTTACAGAAGCATAAATTTGCAAAGCAGGGTTCAAAGACAGCCTACTCACAATTGTCTGTATTTTCATAGCTGGGGTTCCTGAGGGCTATGGAAATGTAAGGCTTTATCAGAGATTACACTGGGCAGCAGTTGTAAAAATCCAACTGGACCATGTGTGTACCAAAGGCTTGCAAGCCCACATCAGCAAACCCCAGGGCTCCTGCTCCTGGCCATAGGTTGAGACACATGGCATAATTCCAACATTATTCTCAAAGGAATATAATCAAAATGTAGTTGTTTTAATTCCATTAAAAGCTCAAGGCCAGTAGAGTGAAATGTTAAGTGAAGCACTCCTTCTGTTTGGTTGCATTACTGTTAATGTATTTCATAAAGATTCAAAGCATAACTTTTGGAAGATGTTCTCATAAACATGTTCCCTCCCCTAACCTAAATAAGAAATTTAAGGTTTATTGCACTTATGGAGAAACTCCAGCTCCAAAGATTTTTATTCTATGCAGATTTCTGTTCCCCCACCGTGGATTAAGGACTTAGGGTAGGAATAGCTGCCAAATGGCTTTATAGGTGTATATAAATGAATAATGTTTAATATAGTTGAAACTCTGTAGGGGTAACTGTGAAGGACATAAAAGGTAAATCTTCCTTAAGCAATTTTTTGCCATGTACACTTACTTTTAAATTCAGATTTAAATGATTCAGGAAAGGGCTGTGAAGCTAAATTTACTTTGGTGTCATGAAGATATGTAAGCTTGCATGAAAACTACTTCTGTTTTATTTAAAATTGGAGCTTTCAGTCAGTACTTGGAAAGCCTGGCTTCTGCTCCCATTGGCTTCGCTGGGATTTGGATCCAGCCCAAAGTACTGCAGGAAGGTAAGGGAAATGATCTAGGTTTAATTGTCCATTCTGTTCAGAGTCTTGTGTTGTGGGGTTAGGATAACATGGCACTGTGATGAATGTTCATCTGTCAAGAGTTCAAAATCTGCTGTCTGTGCATGGCAGTAATTAAATCACCTTAATTGTTTTTTCATGATTCTTTCTGAGAGAGGGAAAATTACTTGCCTTGGATTAGCATATTGCCAAAGACTGTTATAAATATTTATGGGGAGTACTCTTTCAATAGAAAGCCTGTACATTCTTCACAGGTCTCCATAGTTCTTTTTCCTGAATACAGAAGAGTAGTTACTTTAATGCACTAATTACCATCATCTCCCCCTCTTGCAAAGCTTCAGTAGATACTGGTTTAACAGCAAAAAAGGTAAGTCCTTTAGAAAGAAGCATCTCTTGCAAAACATATTTAATTATCTCTGTAAGCTGTGGAATCTTTTTGAAGGTGCATATGTTTATGAAATGGGTTTGTGAATTCCAAATTTTTTCCTTTTACCGTTGTAGAAAATACATGGTTTTGGAAGAATTACTGGCTTCTCTGTGTTTTTTTTTTTTTTTTTCCTTCTTCTTTCTGCTTTCACATTAAGGCCTCATGCACTATTCTTATATTCTGAAATAGTGAAAAAAGTAGGAATGTAAACACTCAGTTAAGGAGCTGCACAGCTTAGTTCTTTTTTTATAAAGGTCGTCAAGCAAAATATTCCCAAGAGTTTGAAATGACTATGCCTGTGTTAAGAATGGTGGAATAAAGCGAACAGTATAGTCCTGACTTGAATAATGCCAGGATTTCACTGTAGATCATGATGGAAAACTCAGGAAAACAGTCAGAGCACAGCTCTTTCACGGCCCTGTTTACACGTACGTATGGTCTGTGCTGGGTATTGGGAGAGGTGCATTTATGTTGTATTACAGGAAGTAAAGTTGAGGGGCTGGTGCTTCTCCATGAAGTTATTCTGTCTGCTGGTGTTAGGGGGTAAAAGTTTTGCTTTTAATACCTGGAAATGTGGTAGTTTTTTTGGGTTTTTTTTTTTTTTTTTTTTTTTTTAAATAGAAATTGAGAAAAGTGAGTAGTAAGTCAAAATCCTTCGCCTATTTCAACACTGTATGTAAAGCACATGCTTCTCACTGGGGCTGCTCTCCTCTTGAAAATCTGTACCTATGATATATCTGGGCATTTTGAAGCCATGCTTTCAATTGCAGAAAAATTTATTGAGAGGTTGTAACACACAACAGAAATGCCTGTCCTTTGAACAGTTACTAATACCAATCAAATTGTTCTTTTTTTCCTTTCAGAGTGCTGTTTCCAAGCTTATCCTGTAAAAGTAAGGACAAACTTCAGTATAGGCACTCAAATTTTGGCTCATACTGCTGAGGTCAATAGTTTGCTAAAGTGTCGAGATCGGGGAAAAAAACCACTTTTAATTTAATACAAAAGCAAAAATTGTTTTGCTAAGACATTGCAGCTTCAGTAAAGATATTTATTGAGCTCTGTTCTAAGGAAGAAATATATACTTTTTATAATAGTGGACATTGTATGTAAGTCATGGGATCATTCCTTTGTGTTTTAACTATTCCTGTTGTTTACACTGCTTTGACAAAATCCAACAAAGCTTCTGACAGCGTGCCAAGAGAGATTTAATGAGTATTGCAACGTAAACGGAACTGGTGAAGCACAGAAGGTGCAGCTGTAAGAGCACAGCAGCTCCGAGGCTGGAGCACAGTGCCAGCTCTCCAGGCTGCTCTCTCCACTGGCAGCGATGAGCACAGCCCCAGCCAAGAGCAAGAACAGGGCAAGTGGACACCAACACAACAACACTTAAGTCATCCCAGCCTACAACAGGGCTCGACTTCCTAAGCCAGGTCTGGTTAGCAAGTATTTTCTTTCCACAGCTTGTAGGATTTCAATGCCAAAGCACTTGTCAAGCTATGTTTTTGTACAGAACTGGGCATATTTTGACAATATCCCTTAAAATGTACATCAGGTAAGGGAAAAATATATTTGTAGGTGTCTTTCAGTCAGTACAACTGATATGCACATAATTAACACTAACTGACCATGCACTTACATCCGTGTTACAAGCAAAGGAAAAATACAGGCCTGTCCAAAAGAGGGAACAAGCATCTAAAATGAATTGGGAAAAAATGCTGTTGGGTTTGAGGAGTGATAATGCCTTTGCTAGCTTTGCACTGCTGTTAACAAGCTAGACAGTGTTATGCAGACTTGTGGACTGTAGCAGCAGAGGAGTTTTACCTTGTTTCTAATAAGTAATGTATAAATACTGTATGATAAGCTGATCAGTAATTTCAAGTGAGAACTAATTTGTCCTTTACTGAGAAGGTCAGCAGTATGGACTGGGAACAGAGGGAAATTACAGAGCACCACTACTTTTTTCCCCTTGCTGCCTGGATGATTCTCTCTGTAGAATTAACCTCTGATGGTTACTACTGCTCCTCTGAAGGCAGAAGTAAGTAAGGGAGAGAGAATCTGAGTGGTAACCTTGAGAAAGAAGGTTGGAGCAGATGCCATGAACTGAGACTGCAGTAGTGTTTTATCTACCACAAAAACTTAACAACAGAATTTTTAGGCATTAATGGAAAAGTAATCTTCATACTTTAGAAGGAATTAATAAGACATTTCACATTCCCATGACTGCCTGCCGAATGACAGGACATACCATCTACAGCTGTATTCTTGTTTGAAACAATGCTGAAGAACTTCACTGGAAAGGTATTTTTGAAGAACTGATTATGCATTGGAAGAGTTCCCTTATTAAAAAAAAAAAAAAAAAAAAAAAAAAAAAAAAAAAAATTAGTTACCAATGCAGTTGTCCCTCTTTATAAATCAGGGCTATACTATTTTTAAATATGTTTATTTTGCTTTCTAGCATACATTCTCAGATCTTGAAATGGTATGCAGTGCTTGTTCCAGTAATTAAGCTCTTTTAGACAAGGATTTTACATGTACTGTTTTAGCAACCAAGTTTCTAACAGTATAAAACTGGCAGCTCTTCCAGGCCTGTGTCATCCAAGAGTGTAAGATGCTGCATTTCTGTGAGCTCACTGGAAGCTTAAAGAGCAATCAAACCCTTCTTCCCCTGCACTTTCACCATTAACTTAAGTGCACTTAATTATCCAGTTGTGGAGATTTCAAATACAAAATCTAATGTATATTACCTATTAGAATAATTCAATTCAATTCCATTTTAATAAAATGTTCACTAAAAGCAATTTACATTGCAATACTTATAAACCTAATGTTGGGAGAATTACTATTGTAATTGCTTTTTATCTGAAGTTGAAAGGGCCCTACATTGGCAGTCTCAGGTACACACTATTTTATTCTGTACACTGTATTGTCCATACGAAATCCATTACTATACATCTCAATCTAACTGTACAAAATGGTAAAATGCACTTTAAGGGGCAGTGAGGAATGGGAGCTTGTTCTAAATTAGAAACTTTAATTAGACACTCTGTTTTAATAATTTCACAGAGCATGAACAACACAGAAGAACATAAACAAAAATGAATTTTGTGAAGCAAGAAAAATAAGGGGTGGATTTCAAAGGCCATAATGCCACGGAAGTAGTTTTGAGTTTCTGTTTCTCTACTTAAAAAAACCTCACAACAATTCACTGAAATAAAAGGAAACTATTTTTTTTTTTCCTGTATGCCAGCTTTGCACTGCTTAATTTTTCTGCAGATTTCTAACAGAAAACAAATTCAAGCACAGCAATGACTTGAGCAAAACCTGATCAAAAGTTTTGCTTGCTTTTTTATTAATCTGTGGTCTTAAAAGTGTTGAGCATTCTACGGATTTAAGAGTAATCAATAAAATGCTATGCTGAGCACCTTCTCTAGGCAAAGCTTTTTGCCACTTCATGACTTACAGTACTTGAGTTACTGTTCCAGTTAGGTTCTTTTTCTTCATGATGTTCGTGAAAGAAGGGAAATCTTTGATAAAGTGATGTGGAGCTTTCTGCTAATAGCGGCACCTCAATAAATTAAAGGACTTGGGGGTGAAAAAAACATTTGAAAGCTCCCAAGCCTCAGTAATTCAAGCCTTACATTCTGCTATTCTGATCAGTTAATTGTTAAAAGTAAGATAAGACTGGTTATTAACTCTTGGAAACTAAAGAAAGAACTAGTGAATTTTTTATGTCACTTCCTGAAATGTCAAGGGATGCTCTTCAAGGAAACCACACAATGCAGCCTGTGATATTTTTAAGTATCAAAGTCCAGGAGATGAAAATTCTGACCATCTCTGGTTTTAATACTTCAAATAAAAGTATTTTATTTGAGTACTTACTCATTTAGTTCAGAAGCTGGATATTTTAAAGTGAAACAGGATTAATAAAAACTTAGTAACTAGGTGAAGAGTTTTAAATTTTGAGGGGTTTTAAATCTAGCATGTTTTTCGTGGTCAGAGAGAGACAAGGTCAGCAGCAAAATGATGTAGCTGGTTGCAGGTAGTTTAATGAAGTTTTATTGTTGAAATAGGCAGGAACTATTCCCTCACATAGGACACACAAACAAACAAATTCTAAGACTACCTTATACACTATTATAAATCACAGCCATTTATCTTAGAACATGTGACCCTTTAGAAAATAGAACTTTGGTTGCCAAAAACAGTCTCTCAGGCATTTCTTATGCAGAACAGACAAACTCAGAAATATGCATGTGCAGTTTCTGTATGTGGCACTGTAGGATGCTGAAGATGGTCCAGTGTTGTTTCAGGATCAGAGACTTTTCTTGGCTATGTGTTTCCCGGACTCTCAATGACCAATTTTTCTGTGGCATACAGCTGGCCAATGGCAACCTGAAATCAAACCAAAATATCAGTAAACAGGTTATAATTTAGACTGCACAAAAAAATCCCCCAAAAACAAACCAGTAAGTGAATAGCCCAGATATTAAGCTTTTTCAAAATTACATTTTTTTCTATAAACATTTCTTTTTGTAAATAATACACTTGTCTAGACCTTAAGGAAAATAACCAATACGTAAAATACCTGCGCATATAAAATCTTGAAATAATGACATTGAGGAAAACCATTTAAAGTCTCAAAAAATAACATTAGAAGTTAGAACAGAGAAAAAGCAAGCAGGTTCTATGTTGAGAAAAATGAAAAGACAAATATAATGAAAAACAAAAATATGGATACAATCAGCAGGTATTTCTTATGTTCTTTAGGTGGAAACCCTAGATATAAATTGCATGGCATGGTATTATTTACCAGTTCCTTTGGAATCCTAATATAATTTGCCTTATGAATGGTGAAAACAGTTCAACAGTTGTTAGTTCAGCAGTAGCATTTTACACACACTGGAGCTACCTCTTGTTCACAAGATGGTATTCAGACCTCCTATATTTGTGCTTCCTAGTGCAATGAGGAAATGACATATGACAAAAATGCAACATTGATGCTTTGACTCCTCTTGTTCTTCAGCACTTTCTAGTCTGCCCCATAACATTGGTAAATTGTGGTTGGATGAGCAGCTGGCAGTTGTCACACACAGCTCTTTGCTTAGCAGCTGAGATGGGGAAGGAAGAAGTTTCATGCAAGTAGGGTAATGAAAGCAGAAGACAAAGTTTACTTTTAGAAGTATGAATTTTGGAGTCTACTTTTTACTGTCTGTTATGCCCTTTCTTGCCTGTACTTTCTCCTTAAACCTGGGTACACAGCAGCTTTGTGTCCTTTTCACAGAAACAAAAAGGTTCATACATTTAAGTGTTGAATTAGGACAAAAAAGGCTAGATACTGAATTACACTAAGCATGGTAGATTTAGTAGAATTTAATACTCTGCAAATTAAGCCTAACAGCAAGTCAGGCTCTTAAAGTAGTAAAAAAATCAGGGAAAGAATGTTTTTGGCATTTTCCATTTCCCATTTTTTGTGGGGAAAAAATCCTGGCTTCTCTTGAATAAAAATTTCTCATTTGTGCTCACACTTACATAAAATGTGACTAATATTGCTTTTTAGGAAATGAACTATTTAATCTTGATAAACAGCCTTGTCTGAAACTTGTAACACATTGATTTTAATCTTGAAATATTTATTACAAGGGAGCATTTATGAAGCTGTTCATAAAGGAACAGAAGTTTCCCTTGCCAGCAAATATTTCCTTCTTTTGGCACTCCAAGCTAAGTCAGTAACAGCATATGAACAACTCTGATTATTTTTGAAGTTACTTATGAAATATGTTGCATACAGAATATTTAATACAAAGGCCATACACAACTGTGGCATGTGTTACCCACAGAAATTTTAAGCTGTCAACAAGTGTTACTTGTCAAAGAGAACTCGCTGCTCTGGGTTATGTGGCAGGCTATACACTTTAGTTGCTGCCTTACCACAAACCATGCTGAAGTACTTAATTTTTGTATACTGTGTTATGGAGCCCAAAGAATCTTTAATCCTTTCCCACACAGTAGAGCAAATTTAATGGGAGGCTCAGAGGGATTACAAAAATGCTGAAACCTGAATTGCATTTTTTTTCTCCCCCAGCTGGGGAGATACATGAGACTGAGTACGTGACTTCTCAGTCAATCATATTCAGCTGGGCAGATGGCTTTGTAGGAGAAAGGTACAAGCTGTTGTTTGCTGTCCCTGTGCCAACAGGTGATGTTATCTACTGCTGCACCTCTTGACTCGAATGCAATAAAAGCACAGATTTATGTGTGAGCTGCTTCCTTAGCAAACCACAGCATGCAGGCATTTCAGCAAGTGCAGAGCCACTAGTGTTGTGCTGTCGGCCTTTGCTGGGCTGCTGCAGCTTGCCTGCTCTGCTGCCTCCCTTCCAGAACCTCTGCCATGGCACTGTAAGCTGAACTTTGAAACCTAAGGATTTTTTTTAAGCCAGTAGCATTGAATTTTTAAAGTTATGATCAAGCCTTTCCCATGTGCCTTAGACAAAACAAATAGACCTTCCATTTATAGCTGCTGAAAAATTCCCATCCATAAACATCCCCTGCCTCAGCAGAAGGATTGCACCAGTATTTACACACTGACACTCATTAACCCTAGGAACCACAACAGGCTTCTTACAGTGTCCTCACCATCCCGAGTCTGAAGAAAGCACTTCAGCATGCGCTCACTGTGGAGCACTGTCCCAAATTAGAGACTTAAGTGCCTACCTGTTGTGCTCTTTTTTCATCCTGCATGTTTGTAGCTTGTACACCACATTTACTCTTCTGGTAGGTTGCTGGAAGCCAGTGCACAGGTCAGTGCCAGGGGAGTTTCATTGACCACAGGAAACTTTTGGGGAAAAAGGCTCTGTAATTTGCTCAGCAACTTTGTTACCCAAAAGTTTATTTACCTATTTAGGTAACACATTGCAATTAAATTCCCCAGGAAAGAATGTGCAATAAAGAACCACACTGCCATCAGAAGACAATAAACAGAAATATAGAAGTTGCTTCTCAGCTCCTTTAGAATTATTTGATGTTTAAATTCTGCCTGAAAAATGATGTACTTTGGTTCTGACAGGTCCAACCCTCAAAACCTGACAATTTGTCGTTGTTCAAAGATTTAGTACAAGTCTATATGGTCAGCTGTTTTTTGTGAACAAGAAGGCTTTTCTTGAAAACCTTACTATTGCCTTCTGTCTGAATCCAGGAGCAGGCTTAGGGCTTTAGAATGGGATTTATCAGCAGATGTGACTCAACAAATGGGGAAAAAGAAATCATTGAAGAGTAAGCACTAGTCCATCTTGTAACCCAACCATTCTCTGGTTATTAGGTCTTCATACGTTCATATGGAAACAAGTACTAGTCCTTTGTCATAGTTGGCAGGAAGCAACCACAGGAATTAGCTACTTCATGGAATCTTTCATTGCTATTGAGGGGAAAAAAGCATGTAGGAAAGGTTTCCCTATATAACAGAGCATCAAAGACATGTATGGGGAGGTGCAGTAAGAATTAAATTGTAGAATTAAGAATTATAGAAGTAAAATCTGAATGTCCTGCAGACACTGAAAGAACATGATATTACCCTAAAAATTTAACAAATCCAGCCAAATTGACTGAACTCTGAACTCTGTCCTCTCCAAAGGTGTCTGTCTGGCTGCCAGTGTCTGACTCTCAGGGACACCTGTGGCTGGTGGGCAGGTTATGTGTGGCTTCCATGCCAAGCCATGTGACAGATGCAATTGCAGTGGGACGGTGCTGGCCTGGGAAGCAGCCTGAATCCTAGGGGCTAACCTGAATCCTAGGGGCTGCCTTCCCATCTTGACACAGCTGGTGCAGTAGATCCTGCTGACCCGCTGCTACTATTTTGCAAAATACTACTAGATTATCATCTCCAGTTTCTGAAGGTGTGTGGCATGTCTTGTGTACTTTAATCACATAAAGATTTTACTTTGCAGCTCAGAGTTGAGGCAGAAGTGACTGTTCATATTTCTGCAGGGCTGAAGATAAGGTGACTGGGTTTAATTTTTTTTTTTTAATTTGCCTCAGAATGCATAGTTCTGCTCTGAAAAGTATGATGGCATATTTCCTTGACAGCTCTGTATAAATGTCTGTCTACTTAATTAATTACCACATTTTTCCTTCCATAGGCTCTGCAGCACAAAGGTGGCCAGACATATCTTTTTCCCACATACTTTACAGAATTGTAATTGTGTGGCATATAACCCATGAGCTCTAACAAATCCTGCTGAGCCCAGATGAAGATATTTTTTCTCACTGTCACTGAATTACTCATCCTTATCATCCTGCCAAACTTGCCAATTCCAAACAACTAGCTACCTGCTTGTGTGAGATCTCACTGATAAATTTCAGGGTGAGTGTCCTAAAATTACTCAGGTAAGTAGCTAGGCAGCAGCCTTTCTGCCGTCAAAAGCAAACAAACTGTTTTTCTTTTTCTTGCCACTGTTTGTTTTTTGATGGCAGACAAAAGCAGGAGTGGCCTAACAGGAGAGGGTGCAACACTCTCACCTTATGTAGAATCAACCTACTGGACAATGCAAGGCCTAAACACATAAAAGTGCCACCACAGTACAGTAATATAGAAACACTGCAAGACAGCAATTTCTCTAGGTATCAGTTTTTAAAAAAATTGATCTCCCAAGAGGGTCATCATCACTGGAGAAGTAACAATGATTTCCACTTTTTTCTTGAAGATATGCTGCTTATAACTAAAGCCGATGTACAACAGATAGCTTTACATATTAAACACATTTACATATCTAATACATATATAGGCATGTTATATACACATGCATAAATATATGAAAAATACCAACTTCTAGATAATGAACATAGCCATCTTCTTCCTTTTGTTACAAATTTGCAGACAAGAAATGGTTACCTTATTACAGCCAGGGATCACATATAAACATATACATTTTCATGGTTCTTTATTATAGAGAAAAAGGAAAAGGTCCTGTGTATTAATATATTTATATACACACACACAAATATATAAAATCAGGGGTTTTTTTTCCTGTTGCACCTAGGAAGCTGACAGGCGTACCTTATGGGCACTCTGCTGAATCTTAGCTAGGAAGAAAAATCCCTGATGACACCACAGGTCATATTGCACTTATGGCTGCTAATCTGGGCCTCTAACACTACATGAAGAAGTTCCACACCCATATTTTCTGGCACAGTGACTATAAAATGCATCTTAAGTGAATGCTGACAAGAACAGAAATGTCTAAGAATAAAGGTTATTTTAAGAGCTGGCAACAGTCTTATAAGTTGTTTATCTAGAGTCTTTCCTATTAGATGAAGCCAACCAATTTGCAATCCTATTGCAAATTTAAGTGAAGTGGTTATTGTTCTTAAGAAGCATTACCTTTTCTCCCCACACCCAA